TAGTTGCTGTGGCTGTTGCTGCTGTGGCTGTTGCTGAGGTAGTTGCTGTGGCTGTTGCTGAGTTAGTTGCTGTTGCTGTTGCTGAGTTATTTGCTGTGGCTGCTGCTGAGTTTGTTGCTGTGGTTGGGTCTGAAGCTGAGACAGAGGTGCTGAGGGAGATAACATAGAAGATACCGGTGCTACGGGGGCTTGGTCATACTGCTGAAGCATAGACTCTGTTTGATAAGATGCTTGTGTTGAATAAGGTGCTAGCGTGGGATAAGGTGTTTGTGTTGCTGTATTGCTGTCTGGGTATGGCTGCATGGCAGCTGGTTGCTCGTAAGACGGTTCTTGCGGCATAGCAGTTGGTAATGTTCCCTGTGATGTTGGATACGTTTGGTCTGACTGGAAAATTCCATCCTCAAGATTGTCCGGGGTGGCATATCCGGTATCCATCGTATCCATAGTTGGCATCACACCGTTTTCGACAGCTTCCTCCGTAGAATAAAAACGCTGAGATTTCAAATATAAAGTCAGTAGGAATCARAACAATAACAACTTGACCAAAATGGCCGCCGACAACAAAACAAAACAAAGAACAATAAAAAAACACAAGTAAAATAGCCTATGTCGCTGGCGGGTTACTCATCGAGTTATCCGACGATTTGGTCAGAAAAATGTGAACGGTGTAGACGTCAAACTTGACACYCACCAGGCCTCATATCAGACAAATCTTGTGTCTGGCGATGAGTGTTTTTGTATCGTCACTCACCMGGTTTTATATCAGACAAATATTTTGTCTTRTGATGMGTTTTTTGTATCAGACACATTTCCTTTCTCGTAATATGAATTCAGCAAATAAAGAGGTATAAATAAAATGAAGTTTCTTTTGTCTTCCATCATGCCGGTACTCAGTTTAATTTTACGCACGAACGAGTAACATCTTTTGTTTATTATTTCAATAAAAAAACATTTAAACCAGGTCAATTGCACATTCTAGCAAGCACAGTATGATCTATTAAACTGTTTGGAGTTTGATTGCTACGTTCTAGCTAGTCTGAAGGGTATCGCCATTGAGAAACTACACGGAGATTTTGTTTGGATGTGAGCAAAGCAATGAAATGATTCGGTCTTTTAACTTTGATTCGTGACTCAGTCACTCAGGAGCTCGGTCCATTCGCACAGAAAGTAATGTAATGAATCCTAATGGACATTTATATCCTATAGATATCATAAATTAAAAAGTAATTTTAGGACTTGAAGCTTATTGATCTACAATATAAGAAATTCAGATTAAATTAGGGGGAAAGGGATTTACACTTTATTGCTTCCTTGACACAATCGTACCACCAGTTGAACACAAAGCATTCGTCCTTGACTTTTAGATCAGTTCATAGAATGTTCGTTTCAAAAGCTTATAGCGAAGTTGACAACACAGTTGAACTTAATTTGCACTGTTCAAAAAGGACATATAAAAGATATTGSAAATGGAATGTATGTGCAAAATAAGAGAACTCAAAAGAAAATTAACGTGTTTGTTGTGTTCAACTTTTTGCCACCTGCATCTAAAAGCAAGTACAAGCAAACTCTAATTGCCTCTACTCCCTATTGGGAAGCGCTCTTCGAAGGCCTACCTTTTTATGGTTTTTCCAATATTCCTGTCTGTTCCGATACCACCCAGGCATTAAGCCATGATGTTTTGGCTGCGAGAAGTACCTCAAGGGATTTGGTCCCGAAGAGCTAATTCTCCGATATCTTGATCTATGAAACCCAGAATAATATTGACCATGACTCGAGCACAAGAGAACAAATACTGTCAAGATAACAAACTGCACGAAAAAGTTCGATTCCATTATGGGTCATTGTACTCGTTGGCCTCAGCAGTGGCAAATCCTCCTCCACAGGTGTATTCGGTGAGTATTTTTAACTGCCATCTCAGTTTGTTATTGCCATTGAATGTTAGCTTCGCAAAGCATATTCGCTAGTGATCCCACTTGTTTATCATTCARGTCTAAGATGTCAAAACATCGCAGCTAAAAACGGTGATGACGACAGTGAGTTGGGTCTGTCAGGATAAGGAGCTGTCGATCAGATAAAACCAGGAAATTCAATATGGTGACTACACAATTATTCGACGTAATGTTTATACAATGCTTTGGTTTGGTGTTGACCAGTGCATAAAACCATATGGCTGAAGAGATTCATCCATAGAGGGATTAACCTGTGAAGATATAGCCCACCATACCGTTAGATGTTAGGGGATATGTCGATCCTGTATGATTTCACAATTTCTGCTCCATTTTGAATATCATTCAAAGTCTCACAGGAACCTAGTACATCCTTAATAGAAAATATGGCAGCATCAGAGACCAACTGTACTGGTTGAAGAGAATTTTGTTTCCTTAATCACTGCCATGCTGTGTGTACAAGAAACATTTTATATCATAAACTTAAAAAATTGTGGCTTGGATGTAAACGACTGATGCAATCAAACTAGCGACACCAGTACCAATACTAACCTAATATCTATTTTATTGACGCCCTTTCTCCATATTTTACAGTTTATTTTTTACTTCGTAAATCATATTTATTATCAAAACACAGTCAATCTATATAGTGTACGTGATTTTTGATAACTTTCTTGCATTTTAATCTTGGTAAAATATTTCCACTCATCAACTTATCAGCTAAGAAACTCCAAGTTTCGAGATTATCTAATGTGATAAAAAAAAGTCTTGAAGATTTGGTTACAGCGAAACCCGTTGCATCGCTCCCTGTCTGAAGTTTGTTTGGGTTTTGTTGATTCTGTCGATCTTAGAGGCGGAGCTTTTCGTAAACTCGTTTTGTCATTGGTTAATTTGTAGTGTAGTCCACCCCCGAAGAAAAACCCATTTCCCAGATATTTCTTTTGAACTTCGAGGTTGCGATCCAGCGGTTTCTTCTGTAATAAGATATATAATAAAATTTCAGGCGCATATTTTATTATTTGTTTTTGTTTTACAAGCAGTTTTTACAGTTGATATTCCTAAGTAAGAATTAAAAATACACTCCAAAGCTGTTATGCAATAATAAAAAAAACTTGAAAGAGTGGTTAATTTGAGTCATTTATTTATTTTTTTTAAATATTCGTAATGAGAAAAGGATGGACATTTCGCCCAACCTTAGCAACTTAACTTTATGGATATATAATTGTTTTATTAAAAAAAATTCCTTGCTGAATTAACTTAAAACTGACAAAAATTAAAACTACTTTACAAAGATGCTATTTTGACATTTTGAAGATGTCCAATCCTCATTTTCCTGGCTAAATCTCAATTGCATGTTATCTTACTTCTTATATATCACTTTCTTATGGAAATGCGTTTGCGAAATCGCTCTATTCAAGAAATATACCTAAATGGCCACCGCTTATTAACATAATTCTTTTTTAAAATGTCCCCTAWAATTTTAAAAACCGACTRAAATCCAATGAAAATACACAGGGATTTCGAATCTGCTTATTTTGAAAAGAACCATCCAAGGGYATGSAAAGCGGCCATCTTGAAGGAAATTCTGCTTGTTTWCACGTTTTATTTTCGCGTTTGATCTTAATCATTTTCAGTTTTAACTGGTTTATCGTTATCTGGTTCCTCCTGAGCTTCTTTGGTACTCTCTTGATGATGTGGTGGTTGGGTGTTTGATGGAAATGCGATTCGTAGCTCTTCTGAAGCGCTCAGAATCGAAGAGATGATCGAAAAGAACATGGAAAGACCAAGAATGATGACWGCAGCGTGAAATATCTCAAGCACGCTATCTATCAGAGTGGTTGGCGGTTCTCCTGAAATGTTTTGGTAAAAAAAATATTGATAAAGTATAACTTAAGAAGATAGACTTAAACTCGCACTTGACTGGCTGATGGCAGTGTTTATGTCAGGGTTCAATGGTTTGGTGCATGAAAAGACAGAAAAAGTACGTTTATGAAAGAAATATTGTAAACACTCGCATATAAGAACAAAGATGGATTTAGAAAGCAGCCTGTACATGGTTAATAAAGACCCATTTATATAAGAAAAGGACCAGCCTGAAAAATTCAGCATACATATTTTTATAAAATGGCCGAAAGTGTGTAATGAATTATATAAAAACGTTTCCTTATGTCAATGTTAACTCCATCAGCTGTAAAGTGGTTTACAGTCGATCCAATTAACGTTGTTCACTATTGCAAGGGCATAAAGACGACAACAAAGCCATCTGCATAAAAAAAGTTCTGGAACTTTAAGTAGAATATTGTTCTTRCAAAGAAATTGGAAATATTATATATGCAAATGACATTGTTTCTGTTTTTATGTCCTTACAACTGAACAATGGGATTGACTACATCTACTGTAAATGCATAAGAAATTTAGGAACATTTAGAGAATACTTTCGGGCTGATTTGTCACTAAGCATCGAAGAACCAAATCAGCCTGCTGAGGTTCGAAATAATGTGTTCTTCAGCGGATGTTTACTGAATCATTTCTCCGACCTCTGAGAGAAACACGGTTGGTACAATAACAAAACAAAACATACCTTCATTAGGAACGAGGTCACCGAATCCAATGGTTGAGAACGTCACAAAACAAAAATAAATCGCTTCAAAGATAGTCCAATTTTGTGTTTGTGTATATAATATCGCTCCAACCAATAGTGTCAAAATCATAAATCCCAGTGTCCAGACTAATGTTCGGGTTTTGACAGTCACATCATCACTGTCACTTAATTGAACAGTGATGCGGTAGTGTACGTAATGAATGACGTCATTGATACGATCACCGATACTTTTAAGAATCATTAAGTTCAGCGGTATTCCAAAAAATGCGAAAATCATGCAAAATATTCGTCCTTCCATGGTGGCTGGTGCAAGGTGGCCATATCCTAGAAAAATACAAAGCAATTTAGGTTAGTCAATGTGCAGCGGAGGCATTTTGGTACAGCATGCAAGGTATGATGGGAATTCAGTGTAGTCCTCACTCTTTAAGCCCTAAAAAATCTCCTTAACTGCCATTCTTAAAGCCGAAATATAAGGCAAAACTGTAGGGATTTTAAACAATCTCTTGATTGCCCAACAACAGTTGTAGCCAATTTGTAGGGTTATTTCAGCCTTATGTTTTTTCTTACATTTAACTCCTTTTTGGCACTTAGAAGGGGATCTGTGAGCTGATATGAGCCATATGCGAAGGTAAGTTACATATATTATTGCAGTCATTTATCATTTCTGGTAACATTCGCCCCTGCGACACTTTCAATTAAATAAGGGGTTTCGATGAATTTTTGTTTGATTTAACAAACAGAACATTAACGAATATATTATTTTAGAATACCCACAGTGGCTTTCGGTCGTGCATGAATTGTTCACAAAAGACCTTTGTTAGTATTTCTTTGCTCGCTGTCAAAGCTTATTATTTTCCAGCAGAGCAGACAATGAATCCAGTAACTTGACGATACGGTAGTGATCACAAAAACAAATCAAAGTAAAAAAATAAAATTGAACTTCGTCAAAACCTCTTTGATATCGGCTTTAGAAAATTAAACATCTTGCCCTATTAGGGCAAAATGCTGTAGTTTATTGTCCTTAAAACTATAAACGTTTCACAACCTGGCTAGTAAATTCAATTTCTTAAGTAAAATTTTGTTTTGAAAATAAACAATTGCGTTTCTCAGTTTTTAAAAATACAAATGGCTTCCTTAGCGCTTGAATTGTTTTCCATGCACTGATACACAGTGTCTGGACTTTAAAAGAATTTTTTTTTATAATAGACATTCACATTTTCGTAATTGTATTTTTTGCATCTCGTTTTATTTTCAAGCTAGTTTCCTTGTGCTTTTCATTGTTCAAATGGCTTTTGTAGAAGTTGAATGGTTTTTCGTACACTTCGACGGTTTCTAAACATTCAAATGTTTTCTGTAGTTACAGTATACAGGCACGAGRTCGCTTTTTAATCGAGATGACAAAGGAAGCCGACGGCATTTTTTAGTGAGTGTCAACGTCTCCCGACCAGCTCGACAAACGCATAGGAAAAGAGTATTTTCGCATAAGGCTAAAAGACGTTTTTTAAAATCAATCGACTAATGGATGCGCGGGACGTCCTTTTAGCAACAGTTTCAAAGCATTTACGAATTAAAAAGGCGTAAAAATCGTAGCCTAAACTTACCAATTGTAGTAACAACACTCCAGGTAAAATACAGTGACGCGTAATAAGACCATCTCGAACTACACCAGCTTTCCATTGGACCACCACATCGATACTTCGTTGCCAGAGAAATCTTATGTACCAAAAAATCAAACTCCTTTCTCGACACGTTGTATTTTCTATGAAAAGTCTTTCTTAAATCATTCAAATGAACAACAGCTCTGGCTTCGTTTTCGTTCTCTAAAACTTGAAACACGGCTGCTCCGCAGAACAGATAGATCCCTAGAAGAAGTATCAGGCAAATCAGCCGTTTTGTGTCGGTTGTCAATCTTGTTATGGCCATCGGCGTCCATATTTTTATACTACAAGACTCTCGTCACAGTCTAAATGACGACTACTTCATGGTTTTGTAATTGAAATCTGGACAATTACACGGGAAACCCCACTTGTCAAGCGCCAATGAAGGTTCACATCGCACATGTTTTTAAGTCGACCTTTGGTTCAGGTACCGGTAACACAAACATTAAATAAAATGAATTTGTAAGGAAAGACAATAATGAAAAACACAAATATAAACATTAAAATAGTCAAGTATGGTATCTCGATAAAAATGTATTTAACAGTTTTTATTCATTATTGTTGAATCTAAACTGAAAGCCGGGGAGGAAAATTAATGGTAATAAATGGAAATTTTACACACAAAACATAATAGGTGGTGACAATTCCTTCTTCTATAGCATTGCAAAACAGTTGCTTTTTCTTCAAAACTTAATTTCTATACTTTATTTTAGATATTTAGATAGTTTTTGCTCTTGCAAAGAAATTTGGCCCCACCGCGTAAGCTCGGACCGCCATCTTGTATTTTGAATACTAGATTACTATCGGTTATTCAGACAGCACCGGTAGCCAATCAGAATATCTAATGTCACGGAAGGCTTTTACTATGTTCGCGCAAAGCTGAGATAAAATSTGATAAAAATATCATTGTTTTTACTTTTATAATGAAAAAGGCCTTCTCCAGCAGTAAGCCATGCAAAAAGAGGTATTTAAGTTTGCAAATTTTCTGGACGCCGAACATATATCATTATATTAAGTGCGTTATGGGTAATTTCGTAAGATTTTCGCCCTTTTTTCAGATCTTCTYATTAATTGTATATAGAAAAATCTTGTTTGCTTGGCCTTCTGTCAAGCTTTCTGTACATGTAAAAAAGTTATATCTGCTCCAAGTGTGCTTGGCCTACTGCCTTGCACTCATTAACTGCAAATAAAAAAATGCTATTAAAAAAACCCAAAAAACTGTTGATTATAGTTTCATTTTTGGAATAGATTTTTACAAAAGGGAAGAGTTACTTAGAAACATGCTAAGCGAATCCTCCCTTCATTGCACTGAAAATATGGACATAATTAAAAGAAAAAGAAAAAGTTTATTTATATATATCTTTAAAAATCTTTAAAAATTTTGGAGCACAACTTTTTTAAAGACGATCACTTGCCACAATTAATTGCGAGTTCTTCAAAGGATACCGTTTCGGAACCGACTTCAAGTGGAATATGTATATTTGAAAGGGACAAAAATTACAAGAAAACTATCTTCGAGAAGATCAAAAGACTCTTGACTGCTTATGGATCTTATGGCTTTTACTTATTTTCATATACAATAGATAATATATACAACTTGCTTTGACTTTACGAAATTTTTACCTGTCYGGGAGGCTCATAATGATTTTTCAATGCATCACAAACTACGTTCAAAAACTAAACCTTTAATTTTATTTAAAAGTTTTTTCAATAACTGCAGTAGTAACCTGGAAATAATCTCTTCTCAAAACAAAAGAGAGTCGATTTGAACTTAGATGTTACTTTATCCGTAACTACGATGGAGGAAATCCTTTACAAGATATCTATCATTAATCAACACGAAATCGTTTGTTTTGTGATCCAGAGATCTCTGATTTGATCTTAAAACATACAAAACATACAGCTTCCCCGTGTCTGAAGAAAATAACGGTTTTATTATAATACCACGTGTCCAATAGACCAAAATTTAGAAAAGATAAATAGAATATCCAATTAACTCTACATGGGAGGGATGGACATGTCTTATTCCGGTTTTGCTATCCACGCGGTTCACCACATATCATTGCCTTCCCAGAATTGCCTGAGAAACGCAGTCACGTTCACACAGGCCACGTTCGACCAATAAGATACTAGAAAAGGTGTGAGCTTTAACCTATGTATCATTAACGAAAGCCCTGACGGGGAGTTTCAAGAAAATATATCTGCAGTGGCCAGTCGTGATCTTTAAAGCTGAGCAAGATACCAAGGTATGTGGGTCTATCTAGTGATATTCTTTTTTGAATCTAAGGCATCCTTGCGCAAATTTCCACTTTCAAATTAGCTCACTTCCTTCACTTATAATATGATGTAGTATTATCTAAATCAGTTCTAAATATCAGGTTAAATTTTTGTTTTGTTCTGATGTTTTGTGGCAAAGAACATAGTTCGCACGGGAATTCGGGATTGGTATTTTGATGTGATGTGGAAAATAMAAAATGTAGCCGAAGCCGCTAAGTGTGTAGATCGAGTTTACAACAAAAATATGACTCCGAGCTTTCGCTGTCTACAGCATCATCAGGGAATAAGCGAGATAGAATAAACACGTAAAATATGATGATGATGCTGTAGACAGCGAAAGCTCGGAATCATATTTTTGTTGTAAACTCGATCTACACACTTAGCGGCTTCGGCTACATTTTGTATTTTCCACATCACTCAACTATGCTGCTAAAGGATAACTTTCAACGTTTGGTATTTTGATGTGCTGTCATTTTTTTGTGTGTTTGCGAAGTCTTTATTGTACGAACTTAAACTAGTTTGCATAAAATAAAAATCACTCGAACCATTTAACCTTTGCAAGTGCAATCAATAATCTGTTGTTAACCAAAGCTGCAAGCATTTTTCCTGGACAAAAACAAAGCGCTTTAGCTTTATAATACCTTGCAGTAGCTGAGGGATTTTATAGGCCATTTTATATGTTAATTTTTCTGATTGATGTACGTCGTTGTCTTGAATTCTACGTTTTTTTTGCCCTTGCCATCTCAAGTAACAATTTTAACAGAAAATGTCTATAAACATCATGTTGTACTGTCGATATGAGAGAAGTTATTTTTTTTCCCTTAAAGTAACCGTCTAGCAGTTTGAAAATTGGTGGTAACTGTTAGAACCTGTGAAAATTGCTTTATATCGCTTTGATATTTAATATCTTTTCTTTCATAAGGCTTGTGTTATTTTCTGTTTAATTTAAAGGGTTGTGAGCATGAAGTGCATTCAGCTTGTCCTTATTTTCTGGCTGAGTTACAGGAACTGCCAAGGTTGGTGAGAATGAAAGAACGTCCCTAATGAGGAGCAAGGATGGCCGAGCGGTTAAAACGCCGGTCTATCACCGCTGTGGTCCTGGTTCGATTCTTGGTCCGGGACTATATGTGATTTGAGTTTGTAGGCTGGTTCTCTTCCTTGCTCCGAGGGTTTTTCTCCAGGTCCGCTGGTTTTCYTCCCTCAGTCAAAAACTAGCTGTGAGGAGTGTCGTGTAGTAAAATAATGAATGTTGAGGTAGTGAGTATGAGTGAATATATAGAGGGCCACAAGTTTATTAGTCTAGAGGCTATTACGTGCTACCCTCTCATAATAAAAGACTTTATTTATTTTATTTATTTATCATTGGTGGAAATGGATGACKAAATTAACACTAAGCATTTTCTGAATTTTCGTACTGTTTTTATCGTTGTTGTTGTTCCTTAGGTAGTCARGACTATGAAGTGATTTATCCTGAAAGACTGGACAACGACCGTGTCAAGCGAGATCTGTCCACAAATACAGATGTAAGTCTGCATTATAATCAAACTAGACGATCATGGATCGCTTACGTGGGCTTCCTGTGACAATGGTGTTTCATTTTCACAATATAGTCTTTGTTTGTAATAAGTCAAGACAGAATTAAGTTAATATGTTATCAAGTTATTACATCATAATTTTTTACCGAACTGAACTCTAAGTTATAAATTGGATACCATGTCTTTCTCAGTTTTCCAAAATAACTAGCTCGACTTTACGCTCAAGAGCGTCTATATTATTCGAAATATCTGATAGGTCATATAGGTCACATAAACAATAGAAACSGTACAGTCTTGGCAGTATAACTTTGAATAATATTTTGATCATTTTAATCATATATCTGTATCTTGTGTTTCTGTTCTTTTTTATTTTGTGTTTATCATTAATTTGTAAATCTGGCGTTCTGTGCCATCATAAAGATGTACCTTAGCCTTCTAATGACAGTTCATATTTTTGGATTTGCCTAAGTTTTTCAAGTTAAACAATCATCAAAACAAACAATAGAGAATTGAAATGCTTCATACACAATATATATTTTGTATACAGAGTTCAGTAAAGCTCACACGTGCAGTTTTCCGAACTTCAAACACATCGTTAGTTTAGAAAATGGCATCAATATTTTTCAGATGAGGTTTGATATGCTTTCTTCCATCGAATGATTGTTTTCTGTCAAAGTATGAACCTTAAATATCCATGTGATTTCTTATTTTTGAAGATTTTGTGTTTGACATCTTCGAGTCGGCGGTAGAAAATGGCCAGTCATTTCTGCACGAATCATCCGCTAATCTTGAATTATATACCTCAATCCATGTCTTTTGGATGGTAATCAGTTGATTTTGTAAGATTTTCAGCTCTTTAGAGCATTTTAGCTACATTAGAACCATTTGAAATGAGACAACTTTATGCCGCCGTCTGTCAGCCATTTTGTTTTCAYTCTGAGACTGCAGTCCATCTGCAACGCAGGCGCTACCAAAAATCGCTGATTGTTTAATTTTGACATCTCCATGGAAACTGAGACTGCAACGCATGCGCTATCGATGCGCTACCAATTTGAAGCGTAATATTCACCACCACGACCACCACGACGAAATCGCCAGTTGCATTTTAAGACGTGGACTTCCACAGGAAGCCCACGTAAAAAGAAAAACAAATGTTAAGTACGAATTTCTGGAATGGGATAAATCTGCATCACCAAAATTGCATCTCCAAAATTCACTTATTCTTATTCTAAATTATATCATTGACAATTGTGGCCTTTTTTTAAATGGTACGTAAACCTTTCATGAATAATNATAAACACCGTGGGAGTTGAAAAACACTCGAGAAGCAAGAGAAACACTCGCTACGCTCGTGTTCCTAAGCTTGCTTCTCTCGTGTTTTTCGAACTCCCACCGTGTTTATATCAGAGGACAGAGACGCACGCGCCGTTTTATATTTCTTAAATATAAATCTATAATTAAAACAATTATCGAAACTTGATGTTCTACTTTACTGGCCTGCAGTTTAACGTTGATAACGATACGATTGTTGGTCCACTGAGAATCTTGGCTCATGAAATGGGGCACAACTTTGGATTCGCACACAGTCATCGTAAGTTCTATAAATGATCTGGGAACAATGATTCTGGTTCTCTCTTAAAGGGACACTGTCAATGGATGACATACGCAGTAATAGTCTCACCTCTAACGGACTTTGAAAGTATAACCTTTGAGGTAAATCATTTTGTGGTGCTTTTGACACACTTTGGAATATTCTAGATCTGTTTACGTTTACGATCTGATTTATGTCGCGCCAACTTGGAGTCATAAACTTGAAAACACTAGCCTAGTGTTTTCAAGTTTACTCGCACATGTCATCCATTGACAGTGTCCCTTTAATCTCGTTTTCTTGGCATTTACACGTGCACCCTTCCTCTGGTTCTTTCTCAAAACACCTGGACTTCAAATCTAACCTCTTTCCCTTTCGTCAAAGATTCTCTCCTACAGGTAGGTATCTCACATAGCCTGCGTACATCCGCGTTATTTTCAAAATTAACGATTAAACGCTGGATGAAATCAGGCTAATCTCACTCTGTAACCTCAAATGTCTCAGCACACAATTTGCAATTCTCAAAGGTAGCTTTCAGTAGCTTTCGAAGATAAATCAAGCTGCCAATGGCAGATTGTAGGGTGATTTTGAAAAGAATTTGAACAGAATATGAAATTGAAAAGTGCACCACAGAGCTTATTATGATCAGCTAAAACATGGTATTGCTGTAGTATCATCAACAAACCTACGATCGCAGTCTGTCGAACCTTCGCTGGCAAATTCGGCTACAAAACTCGTTTCGCTTTCCATCCAAATTTTCTAACTTTCTTCAAAATGACTAAGTACGATGTACTCCAAGTAAGTCAAGTAAATTTCCCAGAAAATTGTCTCTTAGACCAGCTTTTATAGACATGTTTACAGACGTTTTATATCCCCGCTTATTTCTCGTTCCGCCATTTTGAGAGCCTGCGATTTTTTTCAGCGGATTTTGAGAGCCTGCAATTTTTTTTCAGCGGCTATGTTTAAAAGTTAACAGAAAAGTGAGTGAGTGACAAAGCGTCCCCCTCAAATAACTCTTCGATTGCTTACGCAATCTCCGAGTTAAAAAGGATGGTATTAAAACTTAATGCATTATCGACAGCCAAGACTTTGCTTTCCTATTTTTTTTCAGCTCCTTGCAAGTGTTTGACTCCCAAGGGATGCTTCATGGGATTAGGTGGCAGTGGCAGGTTTTGACACGAATTTACAATCATAAATACTGTTACGAGAAGATTCCATCTATTGTTTGTCCATTGTTTTCTCAACAACAAATCATGAGACCGTTCCGATCGGTGCTGACTTGGCCCAAAAACCATCATACCTTACTGCCTAGTAAATAGACCAACCCGTTAATACGAAAACTTTGCGATGCAACTTTTGTGGCCGGATTACTGAGGTTCCACTGCATATATGATGCAGTTGATGTTGACATTATCTCTATAATCTTGTCGTTGGCTCTATAACATTATTTAGTGTTTTTTTTTCTGTATATTTTAAAACTAGTCTTCCTGGTTTTACCGATTGCAATTTGAACACCTTGAAAAAGAAGATTTACCCTTGCTTATTCAACGTACCAGAACATGTAAGTCAAACGGATACATAAGCAGATGAACAGTTGTTTGCACTCAACTGGGTGTAACAGGGGCGGATCCAGGATTTTTCTCAGGGAGGGGTGCGGGGCAGTCAGTAGGGGGTGCACCCCACACAAATCATTACCATGAAGATACAAAATGAAGGAAAGTATTGAAGGACACAGATCTACCCTGCACTCACCCTCACCAGCTGGATCCGCCCCCTGGTTCACTGTTTTGACCTCAGCCATTTTTTAAATCTTCATATTGTATTTTTAATTCTTTTAGAATTTGAATCCGAAATGTGGCAACGGAATCAAAGAGAATGATGAGGAGTGTGATTGTGGAACACCCGAGGTATAGTTTGTATCATCACTGTCATAGACTCAATAAATTTAAGRTATAACTCGGAAATAAAAACGAGAGAGAGAGAGAGAGGGCCTCGAGCATGTTAAGGCCTGGCCCACACAGGTTATCGCGAAAAAAATGTTTATATATAGTTGTGTTTTGACACTAATTYTCATGAAATCCTTCTGGCATTTTTTTCCGATAATTAAAACATTGTTTTTGCTATTCAACACAAATATTTCTKAAGTAGAGGGATCTATGTACAGATAGTAGCTTTCCGCGTCGGGCTCTATCGCGTCACGTGGTTGACTGTCCACAAATGAGAGCGGAAGAAAATTTGTTGTTGAAATATAACATTATTTATCTATCAGTTATCATCATTAAGTGTTGTAGGTGTATCTTTTAGATGTGTAAGCTGAAGGACCCTTGTTGTCAACCTCACGACTGTCGTCTCAAGCCTTCATCTCAGTGTAGCGACTTACACCACACGTGCTGTCAAGACTGTCAAGTAACAGTGAAATTTTTAGTGATTTTTAGTTTGACCTCATGGCAGCTATCTTGGTGGTATTTCTATGACTATTATTCTTACAAACATAGGTGCTAATGAAAAGGCTTATAGCTAAGGGCGAAAGGGAACGGCCATTGAAAGAGCGAAATTATCTTTGGGAAATAATGTTTGATGGTTAATTTCCACTGTTAAAAACAGGGGGGAAACAAAGTCGTGTGCGGGTACGGCGGAGACTGGAGCCCTGCGTCWCCTTATAAATAAACCCCATGAAATGCTTTTAAAAGCTTTTGAATATGTTGATAAGGCTAAAAGGGAAAAATTAATTTGTAAGGTTGAGGTTGGGGATCAACCTCAGTATACTTTTCTCGCTGCACGAGTTACTCGCTAACGGGCACTTTATTCATTCTTCATTATTTTTCAGTTTAAGCAGCAAGGCACTCTTTGCAGAGAAGTAAAAACAGATTGTGATGTTCCTGAGTTTTGTCCAGGAGACTCGGGGGATGTAAGTGTGCAATTGAATGTCAATTATTTAGAGAGAAAATTATTAATGATGACATGATGGGACCGCGAACTGCGGTGAATAAATGTGTAAGAAATTACGATATTCTTATTGAAATTAAAATAATCTAAGCAATTATTAATTAATAGATCATTATTCCTTACACAGAAAATTATTACTTGTTAGTATTGTTATGTTTTATCTGTCGGTATATTGTTTGGTTGTGGGCTGCCATTCAATTCTTCCTCTGCAAGTGCTTGCGATGATGATTTTGATGTTTTATCACATTTCGGTTTGCAGTTTAACCAAAAMGTTTTCTTTTCATTACTTTCAGTGTCCTGGCGATGCCTATATGAGCGATGGCACACCATGCAACAARACCAATGAGGTAGACCACTGATAACATGACCTCAGTTCCTTCGCTTGTAACATGCTTCTCTTTCCCTCACCATCTCTGTCTTACCATTCTCGTCTCTTATGCTCACCTTTTCCCGCATCATTCTGGACTCTCGTAACTTGATGAGTCGATTATTCGGCATCTCTCGATTCTCAACTCTTAGATTCTTAGGACTTCAGGAGTTTAAATGTATCAAAAGGTACTGGGCTAATAGGCCTTTTGCATGAATCGGTCACATGGACATTCTGAAGGGCAAAATTCCCACTGGGATGTTCAAACTGAGAGAAAAGTCAGGCTTGAGGGGCTGCGTTCCTTTGTTTWTGAGGTTGTTTAGGCATTCTTTTTTACCCCAGAATGGTGGATTTAGTACCATGTGACCGCTCCTATTGACAAACCTGTGTCGGTCCCGACATTGTCAAATCTAATACTGCACCTCAGCTGTTTAAAACGTTTATGTATTAAAATYCAGTCAACCCATAATCCTCAGAGCTCCTAGCTTCAAAGTGTCTTCTGTTCTTTTTTCAAGGATTCTCCTTCGCGTTCTCTGCGACATATAGATAACCAATTTATTTGCATTRAGGCAAAACAATCTTCAATAGACACTGATATATACCTCTGAATAATTCTATTTGCATGAATAAAGGTTTGTACCATTGCAACCTCAACGGTCGCCTTTCGATYCAATGCAAAGGCCCGATTACATTTCAAGATGGCGGAGAGAAGGAGACYACSAGGTTGATGTACAATATSATCGGATTTTAACTTTCCATTTGATTCCCCAAGGCTTTGAACGTTACCACTAAATAGTGCTAGAAATTGTGCAGTTTTAACTCCCTCTATTTTCAACAGCTGTTTATTGGCAATAATGACAAGAATAATATTGTCTCAAATSGGCTGTCCCCACGCATTCAAGCCCGGTACGTCCGTATTAACCCGCGATACTGGAATCAATTGATTTGCATGAGGACGGAACTCCTTGGATGCCCTGCTGATGAAGGTATGCGTACGTATTTGTTAACGTAATTGTTACGTACTCTCTTAGCAATTTCTCCAACATTGCCCACGGGTTTAAGCGGATTGAAATACTTACGTAACTTATGCGTACGTATTTGTTGACGTTATTGTTACGTACTTTTTTTAAGCAMTTTCTCCTAMAATGCCCACGGGTGTAAAGCGTATAGAAATACTTACCTAACGTATGCGTAGGTATTTGTTGACGTTAGTGTTACGTACTTTCTTAGCAATTTCTCCCACAATGYCTACGGGTTTAAAACCTTTCATGGAAAATCAAAAGCTCTGTATTGTACCCGCAAGTGAGTCCTGCTCTTCGTCATCAAAGACCTACATCAAATATAAAACCGGATTTGAATGTGAAGAAAGCTTTATGGAGTTCATGCTTGACGCTAGTGGAATCCTTTGGCATAAATGTAGCAATAGAAGAGTCTGTCCAGAAAGCGGGAAAGATAAAGACGGCGTAAAACTCATGTTGAGCAACRATTGTCAAGAAGACGATTCTAAATTTGTTCGAACAGGAAGTAAGATAGTAGTGTTAGTGTATTTGTATTGTTCTGAGGCCGGTTGTACGAAGAGTGGAAAAAGTTATCGTGTCCATTAAAACAACGAGGGAAATGTCCCGGGAGGAACTATCTTATAAAAGTTACGTACCTTTCAGGGAAAATCTTCAAACGACGGGCAAAAAATGAGAAGTGTTATAAATATATAGATTTTATTAACCTCAACAATCTATCGACATTGATTGTTGAAGTTTGTCAAACTTGGGCCTTTCTCTTGCTAAAGACGTCAAAAATGGTCGTACCTTTTAGGGTCTGGAAACGATACCTGAACAAATTTATGCGTATCTTAATTCCGGGGTCATTTTCATTTTTCAATCACTCCGTCGAGCATACCTACCAACATTTATAAGGGAGTCCCTCCCCCGGGAGGAAATGTGTTGCATGGTACATGTCAAGCGTAAATTGTCGATGAATGTAGCTATTTTTAGTTTTATCTTTTAATTAATTGTATCTGCAGCACATTCTCTAAAGCATGTCAAAACCGGACGATGTGTACAATCTAAAGGAAAAACAGCAAAAAATGGTGGATTGTTGGTACTTCGTAGCCAATGTGACGAGGAACGTCTTGCAATATCTTTCATAAAATCTGGTAAGTTATTTTGATATTTGTTACATKCAATAGCATTTGAAATTTCAAAGATTTGAGTTCAAATAGGCATTATTTATAATGGCGTCACTCTATACTATCATTTCCAGAATGCTCTGAGTCATTTCTTTGATATTGAGAAAAAACAATTGGMACTAATTACATTACAAAAGAAAGTGGTCAAAGCATTCTGGTCTTAGTAGTATGTGACGTCATCGTTTAACTCGTTTATAAATTATAAAATGTTGGACTGGCCAGCCTCGCTTTMATGCTTGTGGCATATTTAACAGCCATTACCTCTACACTGAGTTCTCTGACATTTGGTATAAATTATTGGTATGAATTCCAAGGAAGCAAGGTTTTTGTAAATATTGACTGTTTAAGATCAGAAAAAGAATGTATTCAAATGTAGCCAAGGCTGCTATGATGGTTGAAAATGTATATTGTGAAATCGAGCTTTCGCTGTACTACAGCATCATCAGGGAATGACAAGAAGAAGAATATCCTTGACTAATAAGAGCTGACTGTTTAAAGGGACACTGCCAATGGCACGCATGCGCGAGTAAACTTAAAAACACTAGGCTAGTGTTTTCAAGTTTATGACTCCAAGTTGGCGCGACATAAATCAGATCGTAAACGTAAACAGATCTAGAATATTCCAAAGTGTGTCAAAAGCACCACAAAATGATTTACCTCGAAGGTCCCTCGAAGGTTATACTTTCAAAGTCAGTTAGAGGTGAGACTGTTACTGCGCATGTCATCCATTGACAGTGTCCCTTTAAGGTGCTCATTTCTAGTCCACTGTTCCTCTTTTCATATGACGTCATGGCGGCCATATTAGTGCACAGGCAAACAAGACATTTCTCATTTTTAGCTTATATCATGCTATCCATGCCGTAAAGTTTTGTTCGTCCTTTGTATATCCTAACATTGTAGCAAAGCCATACATTGATCTACACCTAATTGAAAAAACGTAGTCGTGTTCGAAAAGGTCACATCATAGAAGCTAAGACCGAAAGGGATTTTGAGTACCACTAAATTGGGATTACATTTGCATATACGTTGTACCGTAAATCAAGTAGAGCTAGTAAGATTAACAGCATGATAGTCTTTTATGCTGAAGAGCTGTTTGTTATGAAACTAGACAAATTGTTTGTCTTTCCAAGTACCCTTTCCGTCTTAGCTTCTATGATTTGACCTTTTTGGACCCRACAACGTTTCTTCAATTAGGTGTATAATTTACTTGACGTAGATTGTTTGATTCCTCTTGGGATTGCTAATGGAGTCGTTCCTGACAGTCAGCTGACGGCATCGTCGTTTAAAGGTGATTTTGCACCATCAGAAGCAAGACTATTTGGGAAGTCCCGTTGGTGCGCCGRCGAGACGAAGAAAAACCAGTACATACAAATAGATCTGGGCAAGGTAAGTGTTGTCTTTTAAAGACCTTAAGACCACGATGATTTAGTATAATTTAATATATTACCATACTATTGTAAATCCTACATTCTGATTGGCTACTAGGGGACTATTTCCAATAGTCCCCGACTAGTGAAAATCACCAAYTTTGAATTTCATTTAGAAWTATTGTGGGTCAAATTGATTCGGCCTCATCATGCTATYAGCTCGTAGTCCACTCGCCACTGAGGTCTGATTGTTTTAAAAATATAATAACATCAGCAAAAGCGCTATGAATACCGTGTATCAATCCAAAATAATTTTCCATGAAGCCTTCTGAGTTTTTTTTCTAGACACAAACAATCTTCCAAGTGGTCACCCAAGGTCACGGAAAGTTCAACAGTTGGGTGACGGGTTATCATCTATATTACAGTAATGATGGGAGCCATTGGACAGGGTACACCGAAAGCGGAGACGCTCTTCATTCAAATGTAAGGTCTATTCCCCGTTGAAAATGCTAGCAATCGATTATTAGTCGTTTAAATCATTTTTATTCGCAGTCGTTCTGCTACACTGGGGTGTGCGGCGAGACACGAGATACACAGTGCCGAGATCTTTGGGGAGCAGGTAAATTGGAGGATATTTTTCATAGCGATTATGACGTAATACCAAAGTATATGGATATGAGCGAGGCCGGACTTAATTTTTATCGCATTAATTTATTTCCAAGGGTCTTTTTCTCGGAATAACCTCCTTCCAAGCACTACAAATTTCCTTTAGAGCGGATTTCGTATGACTGTGCAAAAAAACACAATACGTTCGTGCTGTGTCCGTACCGTGCCGTAGCCGTGATGCATTGGAAAATCTTTACTTTCATTTGAAATCCTAGAAGGCGAGGTTCCGTGACCGTGCCATGCCGTGTCCGTGTTGTGATCCGTGCTTTTGCACAGTCATACAAAATCCGCTCTACCTCTGAATCATGTAATACAAAATAATAGTCCAAGACAAGCCAAGGCTTTTGTTTATCAAAGCCATGCTGCGATTGATCCTGCTGTGGRAGATATCTTTTATCCAATGTTTTAAGCTAAATTTGAAAGACATTATTCACAGTCAAAATTGGAAACTAAGGCTCTAGCTCGCTTTAATGCAAAGGCTCGGTTACATTTCAATATGGCGCTGCGGAATGTTATATGTCATATGGATGACCATATTCTCTTCATTCCAGAATGGTATGTTGTACCCACTTTTTGAAAATTTCCAGGTTCAAAAAATTGAAAATACAAAAATAACAGCGTAGTACTGCCTCTTAAGCTTTTAAGAAAGACATTTATATGAAAAAAATATTCCTTGTCTTAGAAACCAAAGATGCTGACAAGGGTTGCTACGACAAGCTGAACACCGAGGCAAACGGATACGGAACATGTGACCCAACATCTAAGTTACCTTGTGCTGTTGAGTATGTAGTCATCAACGATTATTATATATCCAGGAAATACAAAGACTAGATTTCTCGTGATACTTCAATTAAATAACAGTCGTCTTACAACTTTTTTTACGATTCTTTAAGTGTTGTTTATAAAACGATGTGGGTTTTTTATTGGGATATATTCTAACGGGTATGTGCATTGTGCCACAATTGAAATCTTTATCCCACAAAGAAGAACGACCAATAATAGAACGATTTCACATAACCGGATAAAAAATGSTAATGAGGATCAATTTATGC